AAAGTATTATTATTAAGCATTAAATATCCAAATGAATTTTATTAATCTTTTAATATAAAAACTGCGCCATATTTTTTGAAAAAATCTATCATTATACAAAAATCATTGAGACTAGACATATGTTTGATTCTATTGGATGATCGGCCACCCCAGTGTTCCGTCGTGTTCTACAACCTACTCATCAGACTTTCTCCTTTTTCTGTCGGACTTTCTCCTTTTTCGATGAATCTATCCAACTTATCGATAGCGGTACGCATCTGAACCATAGTAGCGAGTATGCCAATGCGGGCGTACTCATTGTCGTGAGGTTCGTACTTGAACTTGACATCCATGAAAGCTGCACCTATCTTCTGATAGAAGTTCACCAAATGCTCGTACACTAAACTGCCGAAAAAGCACATACCGTTATCAACGCAGTAATCCATCACACCTCGCACGAACTTCGTGTGGAGATTGTTGCTCCTGTACCGTTTCTTTATTGCCACCCTAGAGAATTCCACCAGATTTGGAATTTTATCGAGAAATGAGAGATCTACCCCAGTGTCGTACTCCTGTACTTCGAACTTTCCATCCACCCTTTTGCAAATTCTAGATGTACCTACAAGCCTATCCTCACAGAACAAACCAAATACTGTCGCGATGTAGCTGCGGTTGTCTATGAGTCTTCCATCTTCCACCCTTAATCCTGCGGGATTATTCTTACCGAACCGCCATTCCTGTTCCTCCACGTAGACTTTGTATAGAAGCCTTTGGGAGTCTTCCAGATGGCTCTCGTTTTCAATCACACGGATCTCGTACATGATGCCTACACCTTTCCTGCTTAACTGTTAAAAAAAAAAGTAAATCATTTCGACGTAAGATAATAATAAAAATAATAATAAGCAAGAGAATAAACTGCAAATTTTAACCCCTTATAGCTTCTTAAAAAACGTATATCCATGAATATAGTTACTATTCGAATTAATATTACATAGTTTTATTTATATAAAAAAAAATTAAAATTTAATAATCAAAGCCCAAACGGTATAATGATTATGTAGTTGTTGTACTCCTAAATAGTTTTTAGTTGTTTGTTGATTAGAATCTTTTTGTTGATTAAAAAATTAGGGAAATTACAAGTAAGGGCCCAAATTTGAAAATAATTACAAATAAGGGCCCAAAATAAAATTAATTACGATAGAGGCCTGCTATTTGAAAATTATTACAAATAAGGGCCCAAATTTGAAAATGCTAATTTATATAATCTCGTGATTAAATAGATGTTTGAGTAATCATTATATCTTTTTTTTTAATTAATTAAATAAAATTATTGCAAATTTATTATAATGTAACTATGCAAGCCCAATTACATAATTACTATGCGCAAATTTTCTTATTTAATATTTCTGTGTCTTCGAACACATATACATGAATTATGACCTTTTTTATTATGTTTTTCACAGGTACCTGGTTTTCTGGTTATCAACACAAATGCACAGATGAACCGGTCTTTAACATCAACTTCGAATGCTGTAATGCTTCCAGGGTTTTTTTTAAGCAAATTGTGAAGTAATGACTTAATACATTGATAGCTCTGATTTATTTCCTCCACATCACATTTTTAGTACGATTCATAATATTACAGGGTCGAAGAACTGGTATCTTTGACCAATAGCACAATAAACTTTACAAGATACGATCCACGTACTTTGAATGCTTCCACAAGTTGAATCATGAGGAATTAGTCATACTATATAGATGCAACCATCTTTTTGCTTGTTAGCCGAAATAGTAAATAGGCATGAACTATTTTCATTCATGGAACAAACAACAAGCAGCTTATTTGGTTTGTTAGTTCTAAACTTATATGGTGAAGTGAATTCAACAGAGTAGCTGTCCAGGGCTAAGCGAACATTTTTCATATTAGTAAAAGTCATGCCAATTTTTAATATATCTGACATGATGTATGTTATAAGCAGATTTTTGTCAAGAACTTGGAGGATAAAAAACAATTTTGGAATACAGTGTAGATAATAGATTAACGAATCGAACAAACCAGAAGTATATTTTTATTATACGGTTGAATTTATATTTGAATTACTAATTGATTATTATTATTATATTTTTTATGCGCTTAATGATTGATGACTATATTAATATCATATTCGAGTCATCAATCCTGGGTTTTTAAATGTAAAATTATTTTGGAGCCTTATTTGTAAGAATAATTTTCAAATATCGGGCCTCTATCTGTAATTATTTTTATTTTGGGCCCTTATTTGTAATTATTTTCAAATTTGGGCCCTTATTTGAAATTTTTTCTAAAAAATTTGGTTGATTAAATGATAATAATGAAAAAATACTGAACTTTATAAATAACTCTTTTTTTTATCGAACTTGCATTCTTATTAACAAAAAAAAAATGTCTGCTAAATTGTTTACTATTTGTTACGTTCAAGCATATATAAAATAACTAATTCAAGAATTTACAGTTAAAGATATTACCACTATAGTAAAATTAAGTGATAATGACCTCTCTAAAATTGTGTACCTAAATATAAAAGCCTTTATTCCTTTAAATGAAACCAACAATTACTATATTGAATTATTTGAAACTAATAATATTATATCTCTAAAAAAAAATTTCATCAGACATGATAATTACTATACAGTATAAATAAAGATCTTTATCTTTTTTTTTTTCTTTTTAAATAAATTTTCTTTACTTTGTTTTTAAGGTCAGTGCAACTTCTATTAAAGTATTAGAATTCAATTTTGATAATATGCTTATATTAGATATAAATATATTTATCACTAGTATTACTAATCAAATGATCTAAAATATGGAAGACAACATAAGCCTCGAGTTCTATGTTGAGGAAAAAATCAGGAAAAAAAAACCCTTAAACTTCTGGGTTAAAACTAGGCACAATGTTAATAACAAATATCTTTCTAACAAAACAGCTGCAATCAATCAAAATGTCAAATCAACCACTGCACTTTTAGTCAGTACCATCACCTATGAAACAATAACAAAAAAACATATTGTAGTTTTAAAAGACATTACCATGATTACTTTTAACCATAATAACTTAACCTCTCAATCCTCTGTTCTCTCATAGTTAGCACAAACAAGTGTCTCAGAATATATACAAGAAAGAAATCATCAACCTCATGATGCTACTCCAAGAACTTCAAAAAAAGGCTGTTTCACCTTATTTAATATGAATGCTACTTCTATTT